GAGGTTCCTACCTGGTCCCCTGGGCTCTGCCCTCTGCAGCTCATGCTGTTGCTGCTGCTTTTAGACATTCAGATTTTATTTAGCTATTTATTTGAGATGCAGGTAGACTGAGAGAAAGAGAGTGAGCCCATTCACTGCTTCATCCCACGCCCACCACCAAATGCCCACGACATCTGGGGCTGGGCCAGTCCAAAGCCAGGAGCTCAGATCTCCATCCAGGCTTCCCACATGGTGCTGGCAGGAACTCGAGCGCTTGGGCCGTCACCCGCGGCCCTCTGGGGTCTGCATTAGTAGAGAGCTGGCATGGAGAGCAGAGGTGGGACCCAAACCCAGGCGCTCCAGTATGAGACACGGGCACCTCCACTGCCAGGCCACCCGCCGGCTCCCATTGCTGATTTTAATCTGCATCCTTTCTCCACAACAATAAACTATAACCAGTGCCAGTGCTGTGGCGTGGTGGGTAAAGCTGCCTCCTGCAGCACCAGCATCCCATATGGGCGCTGGTTCAAGTCCCAGCTGCTCCACTTCCCATCCAGCTCTCTGCTATGGCCTGGGATAGCAGTGGAAGATGGCCCAAGTGCCTGAGCCCCTGTACCCACGTGGGAGACCCGGAAGAAGCTCCTGGCTCCTGATTGGCACAGCACCAGCCTTTGCAGCCATTTGGGGAGTGAACCAGCAGATGGAACACCTCTCTCTCTCTCTCTCTTTCTCTCTGCCACTGCCTCTATGTAACTCTGCCTTTCAAATAAATAAATTCTATTTTTAAAAAATAAAAATAATAAACTGTAACTGTGACTTGAGAGCCTTTCTGAGTTCTCTGTACCTTCCCAACCAATTAGTCACCCTGCAGGTGGGGTTTAGGGACACCGGTCAGTGGTCAATAGAGTGAGGGAGCGGCGGCTCAGGGAGGCGAGTGCACCGGCTGAGGCCACACGGCTGCTCTCACGCCTCACTCTCCATCTCTGTGAGGGGCCGGGCTCCACCGCACATGGGTCACTCCTGAGGCCTGGCTCTCTGGACCTTGTCACACCTGCCTCTCTGCTCCAGCAAGCAGCCCCCTCCAGGCCATCGCTGGTCAGAAAGACATTCTGTGGCTGGAATCTCTCTCTCTTTTTTTTTTAATAATTGATTGATTTGAATCAATCAAACTTGATTGACTTGAAAGGCAGAGCATCACACACACACACACACACACACACACAGAGGTCTTCCATCCACTGGTTTACTTCTCAAATGGCCACTACAGCCAGGGCTGGACCAAGCAGAAGCCAGGAGCCAGGAACTTCTGGTCTCCCACATGGGCATCAGGGATCCAAGCACTTGGGCCGTCTTCCGCTGCTTTCCCAGGTGCAACAGCACGGAGCTGGATGGGAAGTGGAGCAGCTGGGACTGGAAACCAGCACTCTGATACAGGTTTCAGGGGTCGCAAGTGATGGCTTATCTCCCTGCGCCACAGCACCAGCCCCAAGCTGAACCACAGCCACCTCATAGGGTCTTCCTGTCCCGGTGCCCATCAGGGTCGCTTGGTACAGTGGCTCTGTGAGGGGTGGGGGAGCCAGTCCAGGACCCCCTACACGGCACCTGTGGAGGAAGGGGTTTTTTGCAACTCTGAGCTACATATTAAAAAAAAAAAAAAAAAAAAAAAAGCCTGCGCATAGGTCCCCTGTGCCTGCCATGCAGCGCTACCTGCCACATCGCCCCCTCCTGGAGCAAGCAGGGAATGCGCAAAGGCCAGACACATTTGTGTCTCTGCCCAAGTGAGGCTCCTGCCACGTGACTGCCCTGGCCAGAGAAGGCCTTGGTGCCCTGTGACCTCCAGCAGCAGGGCCGTCCCCTCCAGCCACCTCACTGGGATCAGAGTCCAGGTGTCGTGCTGGCTCCAGCCACGAGGAGCTCACCCTGGCTCCCTGTCCTCCCCGGGGTCCAGCCACACGGCTGGGGTGACCGCCTGGCCAACGTGTGTGGTCTCTGCCCACCCTGCCAACCAGGAAGGCCACCCCAGCTGCACCAGGTGATGGGGAACGCGGCCAGCTCCCCCAGAGGAAAGCCCCTAGTGCTTTTCCCGCGCACACCTGTGGTCCCTTGGCACACCTGGGCCCCGGGCCAAGAGGACCTGCAAGAAATGAGCAGACACAGCGCTCTCCATGCAGCTGTCCGGGTCCTCCCAGGATCCCCACCCCCCACCCCTACTCCGGCCTAAAAACCTGGGAATTCTGCAGAACAGGAAGCAAGCGTCCTGGATTTGGCTCGCGTTTATTCTTAGCGCGGGCGCTGGCTGGGAGGGACGGAAGCTTTCTAGGCACTCCCAGCCCATCTGCTGATAATGCTTTCGAGAACTCTCTCGGCAGCGACAGCGTGTGCTGGCTTCTCTGCTCGCTGCCTGCCTCTGACATCAGCCCCGCCCCACCAGACAGCCCCTCTCCATCCTGGGCTTCCCCCTCCTCTCCTGACTTCTCCGAAGAACCAACAGGGCCTCAGGGTCAAGGAGCTAAGCCCTTTCTTTAAGAAGAGTGTGACCTCACTCTGTACAGCAGCTTAAAAAATAAATAAATAAAAAGGCAGGCTGGGCCGGTGCTGCGGTGCAGGGCCGGCAGCTCCACTTCTGATCCAGCACCCCGCTACTGCACCTGGGAAAGCAGCAGAAGATGGCCCAAGTACTTGGGCCCCTGCACCCAAGTGGGAGACCCAGATGAAGCTCCTACCTCCTGGCTTTGGCCTGGCCCAACCCTGGCCATTGTGGCTATTTGGGAAGTGAACCAGCAGGTGGAAGATCTCTCTTTCTTTCTAGTTATCCCTTTCAAATGAATAAATCTTTAAAAAAAATTTAAAAAAGGTATGACAAGAAAATGAATGATTTGGCCTTGGCCAAAAACAGGTGAGGGTCACAGGCCAAGGTCACGCGGTGACTATGGTGGTGACTCAGGTGAGGGCTGTGTAAGGACAAGGCTTGGCATGCACTGACCAGTGACAAGGATCTGTGGTCTCTAGACCTCGGCTCCCCCTGCAGAAGCAGGCGGGTGACATGGAGGGCAAAGGGCGGGCCAGTGACCTCACGGAGGCCCACAGGGAGAGGGGACAAGCAGGGCCAAGCCAACAGCTTTGCTGTCCCGGCCAGGTCCACACCACGCCAGCGGCTGGCGGAGCCCAGGGCAGTCCTCCAGCCAGACGGCCTCCTGTGCCCTCTAGACCCCGCCTTCTGCCAGCCTTGCCCTCCCTGGGGGCCAACAGATATCAGGCCCTGGGCACACCCAGCAGTATCGTCTCCCCCAGCTTCTGCACCAGGGGCCTGCCCCCACCCTGTGCCCTGTCGCCCACTCTGCCTGCTTTTGCACCCTCTCCATCGGTGTCCCAGCCCAGGGCCCAGCATCTCCTGCCACCAGGGGCCACCCAGAAACAGGCTTTTGCCTGGAACTTCTGTGGAAACCCTGTCGCCGTCTCAAAGCCAGCAGCCCTTGCTCCTGCCTGTCTCGGGGGGAGCTGAGGTCTAGGGTCTACGCATCTGCCTGTGGGAGTGTGGGAGGCTGAGCCAGGTGCCGCCCGGGGTGCAGGCTGCCCCATCTGGCGGTGGGTGCCACGGCCCCTCAGGGCCCTCTGCGTCTGTCACTAGGCCTCCGAAGCTGCAGTCGCGACCTTAGCTCCAGCCCATACTCTGCTGTCTGCACTGCAAGTCTCGCTCTGGACTAGCCACAGAATTTGCTCAAATCCTGACCAGATCGCAAGCCACGCCCCCACCCTCTGCGGTACGCGCCAGGCGCTGCTGTGCAGGTGCCTGAGGCCCTGGGGTGACAACGGCAAGGACCGGGAGGCCACCCCGTGTCCTCCCACGATGGTGTCCACACACCAGCACCACATGCGGGAATGAGCCCCAGCACCCAAGGTACTAGCAGGGGACGGCCGCCGCCGGAGAGACCACACGCGCATGCGCACGCGGCTCCGTCTTTCTTGCAGAACGCGAGCCAGACGCATCCACAAGGACAGAAGCCAGGGCACGGGCCACCCAGTCTGGAGGATACCAGTGACACGTGGGGGTGCTGGCTTCCCTTCCTGGCATGGATGGTAACCTCGTAGCAGGACATGCTCTGTACAACTGCCCCATATTAGGCACTGAACTCGTGCCCATTCTCAGGAGGCGTGTTTTAGGGTAGGAGAAGGAACAACTGTCCACTCCCAACAGCCTCCAGCTGAAGGCGGTGTCCAGACCCTGACTCCCTCCCTGCTAGCCTTGCTGGGGGGTGGGGGGAGCGAGGGAGGGAGGGAGGGAGGCAAGGAGAGGACAGGCGGGAAGAGCCTGATCGAGATGCTCGTTCCCAGGCCAGACCCAGCCTGTGCAAGTGGGTTGACTTAAGCCCCGCCCACCTGGACACAGAGCCACAGCACACCTGGTGATCCTGGCGGATTCGTCAACTGAAAAGGGAAACGGGGGTGGGGTGGGGTGGCGCCGTGGCAGGAGTAGGCTAAGCCTCTGCCTGCGGCACCAGCATCCCATATCAGTGCCAGTTCGTGTCCCGGCTGCTCCTCTTCTGATCCAGCTCCCTGTTAACGTGCCTGGGATAGCGGTAGAAGATGGCCCAAGTGCTTGGGCCCCTGCACCCACATGGGAAACCCAGAAGAAGCTCCTGGCTCCTGGCTTCGGATCAGTCCAGCTCTGGCCGTCGCAGCCATTTGGGGAGTGAACCCGCGGATGGAAGACCTGTCTCTCCCTCTCTCTAACTCTGCCTCTCAAATAAATAAATAAATCTTAAAAAAAAAAAAAAAAAAAGCAAACAGGGCATGTGGGTGGGTGGGAGGGAGACGTATAGCATAAGAAGCAGTGAGGACAGGTGCAGGGACACACACGAGGGGCTGGGGAGAGAATTTTCAGCCAGACACAGGGCCAAGGGCACCCCAGACCCTTGGGAGAGTGGGGCTCCCGGTTCCCGCCGTGTCAGGCTCCTAACAGGGCTGCCTGTGGCAAGGCTCTGGACAGAGGCTCCGCTGAGCCCCACAGTGCATGGACTCACCCAGGTGCACCCGGTGCTCTGCATGCTGGGAGGTCCAGCAGCTGGTGGGGCCGGGAGCCCTCAGTGAGCGGCAGCAGGGCTGGGGAGCCAGGAGCCCCTGCCTGCAGCCCCTGGGGGCGGAGCTGCTCTTTTTGAAGTACAGGACAGACACAGACGCGTGACACGCGGGCTCCCGGCGGCTGTCAGCAGAGGAGGTAAACACACAGGAACACTGTGTCGCTTTTCCCAGAGCCTTGGCTGAGAGAGCCCTGGCGTCTGGAAATGCTGCCTTGGCCAAGCTGCTGCTCTGGCCCGCCCCCGCCCCAGACCTGGGTGCCGCTGAGGGCTCCGTGGTGCTGGCTGGTCCCCGTTTTGGCTCTCAGGTGGCACTTCACCACGGCCAATCCTCCACAGTGGTGGGCTCCCCTCGGATCTTCCCCGCTGTTTTTAGGGCGTTAACTCAAGCCTATCTGTCTCCACAGCTCAGAGGAGTGGCACAGAGAAGGCGTGCCTTGGCCAGATGGCAAGCTCTGGACTCAGCACGGTCCCCAGGCCTCGGGCCCTTCTCGACAACACTCGCTTCCCATACGCCAGGGACTGACCCAGCCTGGAGGTGCCCTCTGCAGTCTGTGACTGTGAAAGTGCAGGGGGGGGGGCATTCCAACTCACCCTGCGGAAGGTGGCGAAAGCACGCAAGGAAGTTAGACTTCCTGAAGGCTTGGCATCACACCCCCAATGTCGGCAGGTGCACCAGAGTGCAGGGGACTGGTCTTTTTTATCGCACACCTGCACATGTGACTTTTGCAATCTAACCAGGAAGTTGAGATAGTAAGGGGTGGGGGTTGGGGGGAACTGCACCAGGCAACCCCAAAGGGCAGGAACTGTGGGAAGGCACCAGGCACTCCCCTAGCCCCCTAGGAAGCCCCTGGAGCACGCAGCCTGGTGTGGGAGCCGGGCATACTGGAACAGGTCCCCACGACTCTGCACACGCTCACGCCCATCGCGAAACATGACCGGAATGACAGTCCACAACAAAGACACCAACAGAGCACAGGCACTCAAGGAAGGGCTACTGTCACCATACAGCAGAACAGGCTGGGGGCTCCGTCTGAGGGGCACGCGGCCCGCTCACGTGCACAGGAAGCTGCGGGAGTGAGGACCCACGCTGTAGAGGCCTGAGGGAATGGGCGCACCAGGGCACCCCGCCTGGCCCTGCTGGATCAGATGTCCCGAGAGAAAGGACAGAGGCTCTGCATGACCACCCTCTCCGGCTGCCCCCAGCCCACCCCACTCCACACAGCTCCCTGCTGGGAGCTGACCCCGGCCCTGAGGACATCTCTTGTCCCTCTGCCTGAGTTGGATTGAGCAAATGAACACCTGCCAAGAATAAACACGAGAGCGCCTGACCCAGTGCGACTCAGCCGCCGTCACATCTGCCTCACGGAAGAGGGCTCCGAGCCCAGGCAGAGCCGCATGGCAGCGAGACACAGTGGTCAGCAGGTCCGGAGCAGCAGGGCAGGTCTGGCCTGTGCTGCCCACGCGATGTTCCACAGCAGAAAGGGAGCCTGTGGCTCAGGGACTTGTCCAAGGACAGAAGGCTCCGGCTAACGCTTGGCCCAGCAGAGGTGAGAGGTGCTGGGGACAGGGACCCCTCCGGTCTCAGCGACTGGACCCTCCACACTCACTCCCCAGGAGGAAAACAGGCAAAGCCCGGGCTGCTGCTGCAAAACACAGCACCAGAGCTAGACTCGGCGCGGGTGCAGTGCTGCCCCGCCCCCACCCTCATTCCCTGGGAGTGTGGCTCGCACTCCCCCAGCCACCCCAGGGAGGCCGCGGCATCCAGGCACAGGCATGACCCAGCACCCGCTGCCTACTCAGACGGAGGACATCAGCTGTCATCTCCTTGGCCCGCAGCAGGCCGCAGGGAGCGGGGCAGTGTGACTTGGCTCCGGAGCTGTCCCCGATGCTGGCCTCACCGCAGCCCACCCACCCCTGCAGTGACCACGCAGCTCACGGCCCCCCGAGTCTCAGCCTCCCCGCAGCGGGTCCGGCCCTGTCTGCCAGTGGCCCCCCGCACCCCGTCTCGGCTGGGATCATCAGAAACACCTCTCGGGCGGCCGGGGTCACTCTGCACTAACGCCGGAGTTCCAGGCCCCGCCATCTGATTTCCATTCTATGCTTCGGAAAAGGGGAAACTGAGGCAAGGCAAGGCGGTGTGGCCCGCTCCGCCCTCCAGGAGCGAAGATCCACCCGCTCGCCCCCAGAGCCTGGGCGGCCCCACCCTCCAACCCCAAACCCGCCGCCTGGCCCCTCCGGGAGCTGAGTCCGCCAGCCCCGTCCGCCCGCCGCGCACTCACCGCCTCCGCCGCCGCCGACTTCCGGGTGCCGCGCCCGCGCGCCACCGCCGCCAGCCCAAGCCCCGCCCTGCCCGCCGGCGGCGCGCTCCCCATTGGGTCGTGCGGCAAGGGGCGGGGCGACGCGGAGCGACCCGGAGCCCCGTTCGCTGCGCGTGCTGTCGCTCGGCGGCTGCAGCCCTCCCGGCGCTCCGCCCCCGGGGCTGCGCCAAGCTTTGGGGCTGCGCCGGTGTCTGGCGCGTCGTGACCTCCGCGGCCTTCCTGGCCCCTTCGGCTCCCCAGCCCGCTGGGACGCCCCCTTGCAGGCACCACGTGTCGCCAGCCCACCCTGCGGTCCTTCCCTAGAGGGCGACAGGGATGCTCACGTCAGAAGCCGCCCACCCTCAGGCTGGGTCCTGGTCTCCCCGCACCCCTGTCCACCCAGCCCCCACCTCTGGACCTGGCCCTGCTCTCTCCATGGACCTGTCGCTTCTCTTTACCGCTGCCAGCTCGCTCCGGTCTGCTCTCGGACCTCTGTCCCCTTCCCTTCTGCAGCCCTAACTTCCCGGTGTCCATCAGGATGGACCCCAGGCAGTGGACCCGGCGCTCCAGCCCGACCCCACTCATTCTCGTTTTCAGGCCCCAAGGAGGTAGGGCTGGCTCAGCCGGGGCTGCGCTGGGGTCAGCAGGTGGGCGCTGATTGGGGGAGGGGGTCCTCCAACAGGACAGAGGCATCCGTGGGGTTCCCTGGCCCCCCAAACCCCAGGAAGGCCAGCCCCAAAATGAATGCTCAACGGACTATGACAAAGATGACAACTGCATTAAGGATAATCCAGCGTCTCCGGTCTGGAATCTTCACTCCGCTTTGCAGATGCAGAGCTGTTAACATTATTCAGTGGAAGCCCTGGGTGTCCCAGTCCTGACCCCTGATGCCCCTGCAGGGAGAACCCGCCCAGAGAGGGGAGGAGCCTGGCTGGCACGAAGCGAAGGCAAGAGCCTAACCGGGCCCGGCAGGCAGGGCCGGCTCATCCGCGCACCCCCAGCAGGCAGGGAAACTGAAGACCCCAGATACCCAGACTTGTGGCCAGCAGGCGGCACGCCTGGCCAGACACGTGATTCTGCCTCCTGCCGTCTGGGCAGGGGCCAGCGATTTCTCTCCAAGTAGCCAGACCATGTGGTGCCGGGGTGGGGTGGGGGTGGGTAAGAAGTAGCAGTGCTGGACAAGCGGGACCTGGGGCTTGCCCTGGAGTACGTGGGCGGCAGCTGCCCCAAAGCAGCAGGCCGTGCAGCTCACAGTGGGACACAGATGGGCCCAGCTTCCTGTAGCCCACCAAGATGACTGCAGTTACACATCACAGGTGGTTCAAATCCGGCTCTGTCACAGAGCGCGGGGCCCCGGGGCAGCCCCCCACCTGCCCAGCTGTAGCCTTCCCAGCTAACAAGCGAGGCTGGAGAGACATTCTGATGTTTTCTCTGGCACTGGTGGGGCGGGGGGTAGGCAAGAGCAGAGGAGCTGCGTCTAGGGTGTGTGCTGGACCACCCTGCCTCTAATTGTACTCATCCTTGGACGGGGAGCTCACTACCTATCGCGGCCTCCCTTTCAGTCTCTGAACATCCCAACCTCCACCTGAAATTTGTCTCCCCTGTGGGCTTCCTGGCACGTCCCAGGGGGGCTGCCAAGACAGAGCTGGGTGGAGAGAGTGAAAGAGAGGGAGGACCCCTTGGGGTCACCCTGCTCTGTTTCTGACCCCTGCCTGCAAGCCTGGGTGGCCGATTGCCAGATGGCAGCCCTGAGTCCTATTTGCACAGGGACTGGCGGTCCAGTGAGAGGGCAGCCCTGTGCATGTGTGTGTGTGTGCACATGCATGCATGTACGCATGCATACTTGTCTGTATGTGTGTGCATGTGTGTATGTGCGCACGTGTGTGTGCACTGCACACTTGCACGTGTGTGCATGTGCACATGTGCGTGTGTGCACGTGTATGCATGCATGCATGTGTGTGCGTGCATGCGTGTATAGATGTGTGCATGTGCGTGCGTGCATGCGTGTATAGATGTGTGCGTGCATGAATGTATGTATGTGTGTGCGTGTGTGTGTCAGGGGGAGGTGGGAGGGAACGGTGAAACAGTCCAATTTTGCTGGTTGAGTCTCCCTTTGGTTCCCTTCCAGCGAAGTCTGTCCAGTGCTTCTTGTCACCATCAGCAAGTGAGGGGAAGGAGTGGGCCACAGGGACACGGTAAAAAAGGAGGACCAGGGGCCGCGCTGTGGCATAGTGGACTAAGCCTCAGCCTGCAGCGCCAGCATCCCATACGGGCACCAGTTCGAACCCTGGCTGCCCCTCTTCCAGTCCAGCTCTCTGCTGATGGCCTGGGAAAGCAGTGGAAGATGGTCCCTGCACCTGCCTGGGAGGCCTGGAAGAAGCTCCTGGCTCTGGACTGGCCCAGCTCTGGCTGTTGTGGCCATTTGGGGAGTGACCCAGTAGATGGAAGACCTTTCTCTCCATCTCTCCCTCTCTGTCTGTAACTCTGTCTCTCAAATAAATCAATAAAATCTTTAAAGGGGGGGGGGCTAGAGTCATGTTTTTGGAGAGACCGTCCGGGGACCGCCAGAATAATTAAATCTACTCCTAAGTGGAAGGAGCAGCCCTCTGCCACCAGCAGTATGAGCAGCAGTGCCAGCCAGAGGACAGCTACCTGCATCCCAGGGAGGGACGCTCCACGTTGTCCTCTCTGAGCCACAGGCAGCCTCCCCTCCTCCAGGATACCAAATGGCTCTCAGCGCAGTGGCAACCCCAATCGATTGGTACTGGCTGCTGGGGCTCTGAGAGGCTGCTGAGACCGACTTGCCCTGACTGCCAGGGGCACAGGTGGACCCAAGGCTGGTGCCAACCAGTGGTGAGTTCTTGCCCCAGGCCGCTTCATTTTATTTGTTCTGACCAAGCAAGCTGACTCCAGGCAGGGTGGATTAGGACTGCTGTGGGCTGTCTGTCTCCCTGAGGCACGCCCAGGAACTGGTCATTTGCAGGTGCACCCAGGGCAGGTCTCCCCTGCCGAGCCCCACCGGACAGCATCCTGGCTGGCTGTCCAAGGATGTTATGGTCCCAGGTGTAGCCTGTGTCAGTGTAGCTGTCCTCCACCTGGGCTAATCTCACATGGCAGTGGCTGAAACCTGGTTTTTCCCCCAAGCAGAGTGGAGGAAATGGTGCATGAGTATGGACCGGGGAATCAAGGCTCAACTCCTCCTCTTCAGTCTGAGACCTGGAAGATGAGCTGTGGCAGTCTGTGGGGCCC